GGCTGGGGGCGGGCAGGGAGGCCGGGGCGCAGCCAGCACGGCCCTCGGACCGGGAGGAGCTGTCCCCGAGCGCGGTCAGGTTGGAAGGGATCAGAGTAGGTCACCTGGTCCTCCTGCTGTCCGCCCCCTTCGGCTGCTCAGCTCAGAGCCAGATGTTTAACGCCAAATGCTTTGCCTCGCCCCAGGGAAAGCTGAGAAGAAGAAATGGAAAGAACTGAAGCTGTTAAAGAAACTGGAGAAACAGCGGATGCAGGAGCTGGCAGAACAGGAAGCCCAGAAGCAGCAGGAGCAGGAGGAGGACAGAGGTGATGCCGCTGGGACCTGGTGGGGAGGTTTGGGTCGAAAGAACTGGGAGAACCTGGCTGTTAAAGCCAGTCAGTGTTACAGCTCGACAGGAAAGGTGACACTCTTCATAGATCCGGTATGGATCAGTCCAGATATCCAAACAGGCATAAACACAGAGCACTGCACAAGAGACCTGTCTTAAGAGAAAACCTGTGATGCAGTCTAAGAAACAGAGGTTGCTTTTCCTCCACAAGTGCAGCTAAGCAGTAAAGGCAATGCAGTACACCAGCTGTGAGACCATGGCTCTCTGCTCCCCAGGCTGTGTCTCCCTGACACCTCTCTGCTCCCCAGGCTGTGTCTCCCTGACACCTCTCTGCTCCCCAGGCTGTGTCTCCCTGACACCTCTCTGCTCCCCAGGCTGTGTCTCCCTGACACCTCTCTGCTCCCCAGGCTGTGTCTCCCTGACACCTCTCTGCTCCCCAGGCTGTGTCTCTCTCACACCTCTCTGCTCCCCAGGGCGTCACCACACGCTGAGCGTGGCCCTGCCAGGCTCCATCCTGAACAACGCGCAGTCGCTGGAGCTGCGCACGTACCTCGCGGGACAGATCGCTCGAGCCTGTGCCATCTTCTGCGTGGATGAGATCGTGGTCTTTGACGAGCACGGAGAAGATGTGAAGTAAGGAGGAGCCACGTTGTTCTGCACAAAGTGTTTCCTCTCAGCTTCCTCCATGCTAAGCTCACCAGCTGCTTGGTTTCTCCTTCAGGACCGTGGAGGGGGAATTTGAAGGAATTGGGAGGAAAGGCAAGGCTTGTGTGCAGCTGGCTCGGATCCTGCAGTACTTGGAGTGTCCTCAGTAAGTACACCATGGTCAGACCTTGCATCAGATCTGACTGCTGTGGGTGCCTCATGCTAGGGGCAGTGGGAGCAGGAGGTAAATTCTTTTTGATCACATACTTACGGGTATTGCTTGTCTGGTTCAGGAGTTTAACTAAAAGAAGAGCAGTGAATGCAGGATACAGCCTGCACGATACATTGGAGGTAGATCAAAGACTTGCAGGAGCTAAGCATGCTCTGTACTCTGCTCCTTTCAGTTAGAACCAGGCTAGAATTAAGGCTTGGATTCCATAAAAACACCATTCCACATTTCAGCCTTCTCTGATAACAGGTACTTGAGGAAATCCTTTTTTCCAAAGCATGAGGATCTGCAGTTTGCAGGTAATGATTCAGTTATCTCTGTCCTTCCTGAGCTCTGGCTCATTTTGTGTGGGACACACACCTCAGTAGCAGTGTGCTGTTGTCCTTACACTTCTGTCCCCACTGTCTGTCCCCTCCCCTCAGCAGCTCTTTCCTCTGTGCTGTTCCAGGGCTGCTTAACCCTCTGGACAGCCCCCACCACATGCGGGTGGACGAGGACTCGGAGTACCGCGAGGGAGTCGTGCTGGACAAGCCAATGAAGCCAGGCAGAGGCTCTTTTGTTAACTGTGGGATGAGGAAGGTATGTCAAAATTATTTTCTTTGTCTCTCTGTCAGATTTGAAGCAGGCAGGGTGGGTGCTGCTGGGTTTCTGAAAGCCACAGAGGGCTGGCAGGAGGTTGTTGCTGTCTTGTCCCTTCTGGCTCAGCAACATTTGTGGCTTCCCAAGCCCCTGGAAGGCACTGCCCATTCCAGCACATCATTGCTTCACTGCTACAGCTGAACCTCTGAGCAGCTAAAGCTCCTCATTCCAGGCCCCCACTTCCTCAGAGGGTTCCCTTCCTTCCCCACCTTCCCCAGTACTTCTGGAGTGTCTGATGCTGATGATGAGTGTCACTGCAGGATGTGCAGATCGACAGACAGCTGACGCCTGGTCTGCGAGTCACCGTGCACCTGCAGGAGTCTCAGAATCCAGGTAATCACTGCTCCAACAGCATTTGTAAACTTCAGTCCTTGCAGGAGCTGGTCCTTCATATGACAGCCTTCAGGTTCCTAATGTCTGAAGGTACCCAACAGCTCTGCACTTCCCCTCACTCCACACACAATTCTAGTAACACCCTTACCATACCTCCCTTGTTAACTGAAAAGAACTGTCAGCTCTTTGACCAACAATAACCAGCCCAAACATAGTTGCACTCTTCAGAATGCACTCAGAACTGAGGGTTGTGCTGTACACCAGGTCAGTGCCCTGTCCCAGGAGAAACTGCTGTACATGGCTGGTCAAATCTCACCAGATCACAGGGGCTGTTAGTCTCTTTGCTTCCCTTTCAGAAGCGAAAACACCTAAGGGCACCGTGGTGTCCTCGCACCACCCTCGGACTGTGTCAGGCTTGTACTGGGGCTACAGCGTCCGCCTGGCCTCCTGCCTGAGTAAGTAAGGGATTTCCTGCTCTCTGCCCTGTCTCTGCCTGGGCTTCCACACCAATTTGAGGCCTACTGACTGCACACATCTTTCCTAGACATCTCCCTTGTCTTAAAGGCAGCTAGTAGCCACATGGCAGTCAAACTGAAGGGCTAAAGTGAGGTGTGAATCACCCCAGTCACCCACCAGGACTCTGCCCTGTACCCCCATTCACTGTTGCTCCAAATGGCTGTGTAGCAGCAGGAGATGAGTTGGTGCTCTCCTTCTCCATTTCCATGATAACTCTCTCCCACTCATTGACATCAGAGCCAGCAGTGACATTTGAGCTCAAGAGCTCTGCAAAATCCTCTTACTGTCTTCTGGTTGATTGGACCTCCTAGGAAGACTATAAGCTGTTAGTCAAGGAATGGTTCCTGGAAGCTGTTTTGAGCTTTGAGGAAAAGGTGCTGCTGTTGAGAAGGGTGTGGGAGACTCCTGCAGTAAGGGAATTGTGTGGGAAAGAGGAATCATTCTTCTGTCTCCTGAGGCACTAGTGGCACCAAAACCTTTTGCTCCTTGAACACCCCCGTGGAGTGTCTCAGTCTGTCCAGAAGACACATCTCAAATTCTGTGTGTTTCCCAGGTGCTGTGTTTTCTGAGTGCCCATTCAAGGAAGGCTATGATCTCTCCATTGGGACCTCAGAGCGGGGCAGCTCCGTGGACCAGGTCACTCTTCCCTCCTTTAGGTTTGTATCCCACCTGCTTGGCCCCACTCAGAGCCCCCAGGGAGGCTGGTGAAGAGAGCAGAGCTTGGTGTTCTCCCAGGCAGGA